TTTTTGTTTAGCTCTTTTTAAGAGTAATGATAAGTATTAAGACATAAAATCTTTAGAAATGAAATTAAAAATGTAATTAGGTGGATAAACTGGAGTCGACTATATGCACCCTGTTCTTGATATTGCATATCATACTTTTATAACAAGTTAATTCTTTAGTCAAGCTTCAATTAAATTTGACATCAAAGATTTTAGAAAAGTATTTTTATTTCAATTTTTTTTTATTTTCAACTTGCAGGCGAGGCAAAGCGTCTAATGTTTAAGAATATAAATTGAATTTTTAATTAAATAAGCTTTTTTTTGTAAAAATATTTAGATTAATATATCACTTGTAAAATAAAAAATGGTCTTATTTTCTTTGAAATAAAAGCTGAAGTAAAACGTAACAATTTAGCTGTTGAGCAGCTACAAAAAGCTCAACAGGAGTTTAATAAAAAAGTACAAGCTGAAGACGCGGCAAATGCAAAAATTAACGAGTGCGTTGTAGCTTCACAATTGTATAGAAAAATACACAAATGAAAAGATGATACGGATAACAGCAATGGTCTGCTTATGGTGCCTCGTTCTCCTGATTTTTACACACATTCAGGAATTCAACGAACCAATGATTATTTGTTTATTGCCGAAAAAGATCTTCTTATGCGGAACGAAATATATCTTATGGCAGCAGTAAGACAACAACACCTCGAAATAATTGTTTGCTTTTTAACTTACGAGGGTTGCGCTTGGGATAAAACTTCTTCTTCAATGGGTCACCGGTAGGACAGGTATACGTGCGTGGCAGTCAATGATGTTGTACATAGGGATATTACAAAATGACTTAAAAAAGCTAACAGTACTTCTGAATACCATTGTATATAAGAGTTAATCGATGAAGGTAAACACGTATTCTTAGACAAGTTAATGAGACTCAAATGTCCTTGTGGATTATTATGATTATGTATTTCACAATAAGAAATTTCACTAAACTATTAATTATAAAGTGTAAATATACAGATAGGGCTAGAAGAAGACAAATTCAATCTTATTGTCAAGCCCCTTTAAAATATAAATATAAAAAATAAAATTACATCACGTCGTTAAATTATAATTTAATGAATTAAGAAGTCTACCTTGCGTCGACAAAAATACAGCTCTGCCATTTGTTCCAAACCAATGGAACTCGATTGGAATATTGAAAGAATAGCAAATGATCTACCCCTAATTAAAAGAAAACTCTCAAACGACGTGCCAGATTGTAAATCTGCAAGTGCACACCTGAATTAAACCAAAAGTTTTATTTATATTTGAATGAAAAAAATAAAAATAAAAATTTGAAATACTTAAACAAGGAACACGCTACACTTTTTAAGTACGCAAGAGTTTCTCACAAATCTGCATTAGCCTTTATCCAAGATTAAGCCACCACGCAAATTAAAAAAAAAAGTTTAAAACTGTGTGAGGAAGACTTCACTCCTACTAAGGGCTCTTGCAGATAATATCTTTGTCAGCAGATTAATGAACTTTTTACATTTTGCAATAAGCACTTCTGGAAAAACGCTCTTCGAGATCTTACCGACTCCTCATATGGTTTAAATACTGGTTGGCGTAATATTCCACCTTCTGCTGTTGAATCATCTGAAAAAAGTTATTACAGCTGGCCAACTTAAGTCATGCAGCAGCACTACAAAGCAAGTTAACGCTTTTAACATGAAACCTATTAAAAGATAAAGTTAGACTATTTACATCTGCTTTGAAAGAAGCTCTTAAAAAGAACAAGAAGCTACCTGGATGCCAGAATTTTTCTCAATTATATCAAAAGTAGGAGTTAAAACCTTTTGCGTCAATGTAGCTGCTGTAGAAAATTCTATTTGGCCAATACACTTGCTCCAAGTTTTTAAAAAAACTCTAGGTCAGTCAAATCAATGGGTTAAAAAAATTTCAATGTCTATTGTTCTTGGTAAGCAACAGGAAAAGCAAAATATTTCTGCTAATGTTCAAACTGCTGCTTTGCAGCTCCTCGTACCTCAAAAAGAGTTTTTAAATAAACTCTAAAAGCCGTTGCACCTACAAGAAGCAAAGGAGCTAAGAAAAAAATCTGCTGAACGGAAATAATGTAAGGCGTGAAAAATGCTTTCTACCTGTAAAAAAACAAAGGGGTGAAAAGCTTTTTGTACCTCTAAAAAATATTGACGCTAAAAAAATTAGCCTGAATAAGCAATTTCAAAATGTTCTCTTTACCCCAAAAAGAGTGATTCGTGCTTCAAGTTCTGAGGTGAGGTGGTCCGTGGCCTCTGGTCCTATAGGAAGTTGATGATCGGTAGCCTCTGGACATTAGGGGATGTTTAACGTAAAAATACTCTTATTTTTCAAAAGTATTTTTGTCAAGTATATTTTTTATTTATCAAGTTAAAAATTATAACATTTATTCAATAGATTATTAAAAAAAAGTAATTAGAATTTTAGATGAATATTGTATTTACTTGAGTAAAAAATATTGTTTATTGGCCAGATTTAATCAAAGATGAAAGAAAAGCAATATAGTTTAAATTAGAGGTAAAAGTCTAAAAAAATTTACTTTGATAAATTGTATATTATAAACTTTGAAATCTGTAGATTACATCGTCTTTTTGTTTTTAATTTGTTTTCTCTGGATGATGAAATTTTCATTTTATGTACATTTTTTTTATATTTACCTGCAAGCAGTTAAAACATGATGGTAGCAAAAGTTTTGAAAAACTGACGAATAATAAATCTATAACTAATTCACTTTTTTAATTATAATATTTTAATCGTGCGAGGATTTTTATAACTTTAAATAAAAGATAAAAAAATGTATATATAAAATTTTCTGAACATTATTTATTATTTTTCAATAAAATTACTGGATAATTTTCTGGTTATATCTGTTTTTTATATTATTTCATTTTCAGATTATTTAATCTTGAGATACGAATAAAAATAAATGAGAAGGGAAAGAATTGTAAACGTTCCTCTTCATTAAATAAAGCATTTGATTAACTTATATATCGTAGTGTAGTATACGCTGAAATCTGTTATTTTTATCTGTTACTAACTGTTCATATTATATGAACATATATATATATATATATATATATATATATATATATATATATATATATATATATATATATATATATATATATATATATATATATATATATATATATATATATATATATATATATATATATATATATATATATATATATATATATATATATATATATATATATATATATATATATATATATATATATATATACTTTTAGTGATGCAGTTATAATAAGCAATCAATAAAAGCTGTTTTAAATACTCATGATACTGGAACAAATAACCGAAACGAGATTCCTAATAAACAGTTTTACAGCGTATTTGTAAACAAAAGCAGCATTATGCCAGAAATAACAGATATACTAGTCACACACTTGATCTATAAAGCAGTTTCAATGACTCCATAGATTTTCTGAATCGTCTTAAAAAATAAATACAGGAAAAGCGTGTGGTGTAGATAATTTACATCCTATTTAATTAAAACATTGTGCAAAATCACTGGCAATGCTACTTACGTTTATCTACAAATCCTCTTACAACACAAGAAACCTTGATGTGCAGCAGTACACTACATAATTCCAATTTTTTAAAAAAGATGTAAAATAAACGCATTGAACAAGATACATAAATGACTTGCCAGAAAAATCAAAAAAACTGTGAAAATGTAGACGACACCAAAATCCTATCAACCGTATTAGCCGTTCAATTGATGACGCCGAGTTAATTCAAAAATATTTAAACATCAAAGAAAATTGGAAACAAAAATGGTTAGTTAAACTTAATGAAAGTAAATCTATATAAATTAATATTTTTTAAAAATATTATTGCATCCTTAAAAATCTTCTATTATTTCATTGAGATGTATTCAACAACGATAACTTTAAATTTCTCATCGCAATAGAGAGCTTTCTTAATCACATTTGGATGTTTGTTATAATATATCACCTAGCCGGATAACACATCGCACATCTAGAAAGATTATGATTTATCTTTACGTTCACAATAGTTCTTGACTTACACTTAATCAACCTACGTTCCCTCATGTTGCAAGTTTTATATTTTCGTTTTAACAAACAACACATTATTGTTTAGCGTGAAAGAAACATATCTGCCAGCCGCATTTGGACTCTTGAAGTATTTATGACATGAAAATATTAAATAGTTTTTTTTTTGTTGCACAAGTTAAAAATACCAGAAGAAGCTATTTGAATGCATTCTTAAGAAAAGTTTTTTTTTCACTTTTTCTACTTTTCAACTTATTTTTTTACATTTTTTATTTTTCAATTTATTTTTAGGTATTATTAAAAAATATTGCGATTGAAGCTACTTTTAGTACACAAATAACAAATAACATAATAGCAGTTGTCATCTTTTTACCACTTTCTTCTCGACTTTTAACTTAATGATAATTTGTTTTATATAAATAAGACAATATAAAAACATTTAAAAACGTTTTTATATTGCCCTTTCATTTAGATGAAATGCTGAAAAAGTGATAACAAATTTGTGAATAAAATTCTTAAAAATAGACTCTGCAAAAATAGACGTCTACAAGAAATCTAATCTTTGTCGAATAAAATGCTAAAATTAGAAAATACCCAGGGAACCATAGGGAGCAATATAGAGAATCCTTCAGGAACTTGTGGTTTTTAGTAATTGAAATTTTTAATTTCATACATATATGAAATATATGTATGAAATTAAAAATTTTTAATTTCAAACATATATTTCATATATGTATGAAATTAAAAATTTCAATTACTAAAAATACCAATGTCGTATCATCATAATGCGCAAACGACATTCAGACAAAAGCATGTTTTCTGGAATATTGCTTGCTGTGTTTTTTAACAAATGTATATTTTAATGATTCTACATTTATCTCATCTTTTATTAAAATTAAAGCATATATTTTGATAGTGCAAACATATTTAACAAATACTAACCTTGTGCAATAACATGTATAACCCAAGAAAACAAAACAAATATTAGAATCTCTTTCTAAATAAAATGTAATAAGCAAAATAAAATTTTAAAAACCATTAAACTTATAATCTTAAGTTTAGCATTAAAATAACTTTTAATTTAAAAACTTTGTTTTTAAAATAATGTATTAAAGTAATATAAAAACTTTATTTTTTAATTTGGAAATACTTTTAATGAAAAACAGTTTCTTATAATTTCATTTTTTGTAAAGTTTTGGAGAAATGTCTTAAAGTTACTGACAACCTTCTAGATGCAATTAGATTCTTAAAGCGCAGATCTTTCAAATTTTTATTTACACAAGTAACCATAGGTTCATTAGGTAACAAAACATTCCATAAAATTTTTATAAAACAAGTTACGGTTAACAATTTAAAATTTAGATAAAAATATTTATTTTATCATATCTAATAATTTTTTAATATTGAACTTAATGCTGCTGTTGCCGTTACTCATTTGTGCGTGTTTGACGCAAAATTCACAGCAGCCGTCGCCCTTGAGTTAATAACGTGAAAGATTCCCAACACTTTTTTTCTACAAGAAAATGTAAGCGAAGGTGTATGCAAATATCTAACTTATGTAAACTTCGAATTACATAATGTTAAATTAAACTAGCGTTTTGCATTGCAGCAATATCTCCTTGATTTTAATTTATAGCATTTATTTGCCGTTTTATAAAGTTATTATTTTTTACTTGATTAATAATGCTAAAAACTATTAGTATAGTATGCCTAAAAGGACAAAGTGATTAGCTCGCTATGCCTCTAAAGTGAAAAGCGGGGAGTTCAAAACCTTTTGCTTGCACATTTAAATTTTTTATTTTTAAATCTATTTAAGTTTTTTAAAATACTATATAAAATTTATGTTTTTTAGACATTATATATACAACGTATATAAAAATGTTATATACTATAACAAAACCTAAAGTTTCTAAAACCAATAAAAGCAAACTTGAACCTCTTTATCGTCATCAGAAGCATGCAGCACGTTTAATACATTTTAGTGAACGTCTTACTCATGCAAAGCCTCTATTAAAAAAAATGAACGCCTTAAATGTATATCAACTCAATGCTTATAATACTCTTTGTTTTATGTTCAAATGTAAAACTAATTCTTCACCAGTTTCTTTTCATGATTTGTATATGTCAAAAGATAAAAATAAATACTTTTTACGCAATAACAATTTTATTAAGCAGCCATTTTTTCAAACTAACTTGAGCAAATTCTGCATTACTTCTCGCGGACCGTTCTTATGGAACAAAATTGTCTTAAAAAACTTTTCTCAAGATTTTATCCAAGAATGTAACTACAACTCTTTTAAACGAAAGTTAAAAGAATTAATTTTTACAATTGACGATCCATCAATCTGACGATCTATCAATCTGATCTGACGTTCTTTTATTTCTTATTTACGATTTTTTTTTTGTTATTTTCTTGTAACTATTATACTTTATTTTTTAATTTGTATATTTATAACGGAATGTTGTTTAAAATGTAATAAAGAACAAAAAAAAGGTTAAATTAACAAGATTCTTTTTAATAAGTTCTTTTTAAAAAGTTTATTCAAACCTTTATTATCCTCTATTTATTAATAAACTAATTAACGGGGCGAGGGTCCTAATAAGCTGCAGATGGTCTAAAAAAGAAAACTTACTAGAAAGTTAAATTAAGTTTCTTAAGAATTAAGAAAGCTCTTAAGAAATTAAGACAATTTTTAGACATTAAAAATATTTAAAAATTTAGAAATTTAAAGTTTGTCCTTTTTTATTGGAAACACAAAAAGAAACACATACGATTATTTGGACCAAAAGAAGCTCCGTAAATACCCTCAACTCTTAATTATAATTTTAACTGCTGTTTTCAGATGACCACAAAAAACGCAAGGCAAATATAATATAGTTAAATATTTTCTTTTTCATGCTGGCACAAAAATAGATAAGATGAATATACAAACCTTTAATCAAAACACTGAAAAAGGATTAGGAGTATAATAGGTGTCAAAGATAGGAAGATATTTATTAAATTTTTAATTATTCGACAAAAAAATGAAAAATGAAAATAAAAAATTTACCATCAGTTTTTTATTGAGAAATAGGGTTGTGAGCCACAAAGTATTTTATGTGTCTTGTTTAAGTAATTTATGTTTGAAACTAACACTTGTATACAGGGTGACAACCATAAGGTGAAACACATAAAGTAAGCTATATTTTCAAATTTAAGAGGTATATTTATTCGAAAGGGTATCAATAGAAAGCTACAAGTGTATTTAACAAGTTTTATTGGTTTAATTCGAACCTGTCGCCCTCTGCTTTTATGCAAGCTCGATATCTCTTGAAAAAGTTTTCACACGCGGCACGCACGGTTTCTTGTGGCATTTTGTCCCAAATGTCGATCAAAAGTTCCTTGAATTGGTCCAAAGTTGTTAATTTATGCTTCCCCAGTTCTTGTAGCATGTATCCCCAGACAAAGAAATCAAGGGGATTGAGGTCAGGACCCGAAGCAGGCCATTCTTTGGTATCGATAAAATCTGGGAAATTTTGCTTGCAGTAATCTTGGACAACAATAGCTTTGTGTGCAGGGGCAGAATCTTGCTGGAACACCCATGGATCATCACCATACATTTTTTTAGCCTTAGGTTCAATCAAACCTTTAATCACATTCTGTAAGTAGCATTCTTTGTTGATTTTCACCCCTCTATCGATAAATTTCAGAGGAAATTTCCCCTTTTTCGAAATGGCCCCGAATGCCATGACCGCCGAAGCGTTCTGATAACGAGGGATAGTTCTAACGTTTAAAGGAACATAAGAGAGCGTTACAGCATAAACTCTGTCATTTTGTCTGTTCAACAAGCGCTCCAAAGTAAACATTTTCTCGTCCGAAAAAACAATATCTGCACCACCGTGCCGCTTCAATAGCGATTTGCAACGCTTGACTCTTTCCACCTTGTTTTTGTCAGTGGGGCCGGCAATTTTTTGTTTACGGTAGCACTTAAGTCTTAAATCTTGTTTTATATCCTTTTGCATGGAGGTATATGACATGTTCAGCTCTTTAGCTAGCTGCTGACCTGGGCGAGCAGGATTTCTTTGTAAACGTTCTCTTACCACTTTTGATTGCTGGAGTGCGCTTGACGCGCTTTCTTTTTCTAGTTTTAGCTGGAATTGTTTGCCCAGTAGTTTTGTAACGAGAAATTGTTCGACTAATCAATGATTTGCTGACTTTTATATCATTTAGGCGTCTCCAAATATCAGCTTGACTTAAATTTTTTTTGTGTAATGAAATTATCAGCTCCCTGATAGGATTTAGATCTGTATTTTTCATACAATCCCTCATTTTTTCTTCCTCAAATTTTTAAAACTTTTTCTAAACTAATGTCAAAACAAACTGTAAACAAGCGGAAAGTCATATGGTACGGGGTTAATAAATGATAGGGGTTCGAAAATGTGTTTCACCTTATGGTTGTCACCCTGTAAATTATTGAATTTTCTTTCAGTCTTCGTCAACACCGCATTTTAGTCTTCGACTGAAAAAAAGGTTTTAATTTGCTAGGGTTTTTAAAGAGTTACTTTAAAAAATATTGTTATCTTGAATGTTATGATTACTAGACAACAATTTCGTATGGACAATTATTAATGTTTTGTAAAGTTCTATTCGTACAATTACAATACAGTTATTACCTAGAGGAGAAATTCCAAACTTTTGAGTTCTCAAATGAAAATCTAATTTATTTATTATTATTAAATGTATTCATATTCTTCTAAATTAAAAAAAAATATATTTAAAAGTAAAATAAATTCAAGATGTCTCCTAATATAAACTGCTCAAAAAGGGCATATAGATCTTGATATATTGATCAGAATATTGGCAATGCAATTTAGGACATTAATATCTCAACTTATTGAGGAGAATATTGGTAATACAGTTTATGACGTTAAAAGATAAATTTGGCATTTATAATGTTCTATTAATTAAATAATTTTATAATCACTATTTACTGTACGCAAGTAGATACTAGTGAGAAGCTCAATAATAGGTCTCAAACCTTATCTGATAAACATTGCACTAATCTTTGGGAATAACTGGGAGCAAACGTAACAATAAAGTTGTAAGTTATTTTTACTCATTAAACTTTTAAACTATTTCTCAAGCGTTTTTTAAAAGAAAGTTAATAGCCATACAAACATTCAATCGATTTATATTTTTATATATTTTTTACCAGTGAAGGCGCCTGGTAAAGAATATATACAAATGGTAGTTTTGTTTAAATAAGGGATATATACAAATAAAATTTTTTTATCCCCCTTGGGTTTATGAACTTATGGTGAATGGCATATCAGCTTCAATACGGTGCTGTCCAAAAGATCTAGATGAATCTTCAAATTTAAAAAGTATTTTAATAAGGCGAAATACTTCATTTTGTTTAGAATATCTGTGACAGATAAAAGTATATATATATTATAAAAAAAGTTTAACTGATTTTGATTGTACATAGAATATAATTATTAAATAAAATATTAAATTTATTTTGAATTAATATAATCCTTTTTAAATTTGTTTGAGAATTTTCAAAAAATTATATTAATTCAATATAAATTTAATATATTATTTAATAATTATATATAGTCATCTGTTTTAAAAAAACGGTTTTTAAAACAAATGACCATAATATAATTATTAAATAATTTATTATTTAACAATTATATTATAGTCACCTGCTTTAAAAAAAAAAAGAGAATGTTTATCATCAAGAGACGATTTTCCAAGAAAATCGTCTCTTGATGATAAACATTCTAGAGTAAGTTAATAGTTATCCTATGAATAAATCAATATGGTTCATCAAAGATAATTTTCTATTTTGTTGTTTAGTAAACTTTAAGCCTGGATTCATTTAACTTATTTTTATATAACTTTCTGGGTTTATTTGAAATTTTTTTTTTATTAGATCAATGTTAATTATAGGTAAAATAGAGCAATTTTTACTGTAGTTGGGGAAACTGCGATTAGTTTACAAGTGTATGGCCTTTATGAAGTTATCAAAAAAAATTTCAAATATAATGTCTAATTTATTTTGTGCAAACGAAAGTTATAAATGGAAATTCGATGATTTTTAAAACCGCAATTTAGTATATCAGAAGGGAATCATCCGAAAAAATCATTTGAAATTTCCACATAGCTTTTCTTGATGTCGTTCAGTAAAGCTTTAATACTGGTATTGCCATTTTTTACCGTTAAATTTATTATGAAACTCTTAAATACAAAGGAGTAGATAATGTGTTCTAATTATTGTCAACTG